TGGTTAAAAGAAACTTCCAAATTACCGCATATATCCATTACGTGAATCCACATCATCCTCAAACTCCACGGTGGTTTGCCAACATTCTCTAGTAAATGCAACGACATTATTCTTTTCTATATGGTTTGTGCATTTGAAAATTTACTTTTTCTCTTGAAGGTAGCGGTGGCAACGGGTCGGGTTAGGTCCAGGTCAACCCAGACGTAGACCCAATTTGACTAGGTTCTACGTGGAGCGGGACTTGACTGGAATACCATGTTGGGTCCATGTGACTTCGACCCAGACTTGACCAGGAATGTAGTCGTGTCCAAGTCATATGGACCCGGACTCAGTTCTAGGAATTAAATAAAAATAAAAAATAATTTTTTATAGTATAATATATATTTAGTATACTTTATATCAGGTCGGGTCGGGTCCAACCTAACCTAGGTTAGGTCTATATATTTTGGACCGAGACCCGAACTGTCGTGCCAAAACACGGTCCCAGATTTCGACCGGTTCTTGTCGACCCATCATGTCAAAGGGTTTACCCGACCCAATTGCCACCCCTACTTGAAGGTTGCTATGTTCGTTGAAGAGCCTATATCCCAAAATTCGGATCTCTAAGATACGGTTTTGAAACAACGTCTTTCAATAACGTACCACTTCCCTATTTGATAACAATAAAGTTTTACAGTAACGTTTTCACTGTGGTATCAGCTTGCCATATACTAAAGGCTAAAAAGCAGGTACCGCCAACTTTATAAAAAGATATTAAAACTTGAAATATCCACTTCATTAAAAGACGCAGTCTCTTCTAAAAATCAAATACGTTTTAAATTACTAATTGGATTTTACTCAAGTGAGTGACCAAGTGGGTGTATTTGCCAGAGAGCATACAGTATTTTGACATGTAAATTGGAGTTTACGCATGTCCACGTCTGATTACCGGCTACGTCCTGTGACCCTCCAACGACAAGTAGTCCATTCTCTAAATAATGCAATACCACTTTCGTAGATGTAAAGGAATCCAAAAAACACACATATTTTAGAGAGAGAGAGAGAGAGAGAGCATTAGGCAAACTAATCTAATCCTTGTCTCGTCTCCTAGTGCAGTGCAAAAAAGTTAGTCCAACCACTGGAGAGAACACAACCATTACATGAAATATAAGGGTGAGGTTTGAATAAGGTTGCGTCCTTATACTGTAGAAAAAAGGCATACCTATAAAATTTACTTAGAGATGTTGTTTCGGTGTTGAAAACTTTATGATGACCTCAAAATCTACTTTTATCCTTAGTTATAAGTTTTAAAATTTATAAAATGGTACATATCAAGCAGATCAAGAAGCATTTAATATCATGAATATAGATGTTCCAAATAACTTGCTATAAGATGCATTAGTTTTTGGACTTTAGATTCCTTTTTTTCTTTATGTCCATTCATCTCAAAGGTCGAGATGGTCACTTGGAAGGTTCTGCAATGCCGAAACACTCTCCATTGTCGGATTTTTGATGTGCACCTTACTTCAACAGTATAAGGTTGCACATCATGTGAACAATTTTATTGTTATGAATTGCTTGATATCAACCATTTTGTAGGGACATGCACTAAACTTGCAACGACCACAGTTGAGATTCCCTTTGACAACTTCTCCACGCAATGCACATGAAACCACAAAGAAACACCCCCAATTGAGCACACATTAATCAATTCTTAAAATTATTAGAGAAGCATAGATGGCAGGCTCTCCACCCCTAATCAAATGGTCCACCAAGTCCTAATTTTGATCCGCAAATCATTTTCTTTTTTTGTGCTTTTTTTAATGTTGATTTGATCCGCAATCATCACTAAAATATAGTGATTACCAAAATAATGGGATTAGAGACGAAAACATACTTCCAAATTGGACTTTTCCATCCTTTTAGGCACTATAATATGTTGCTTGTAGCATGTATCATCTCTATTATAAGAAAAATTTCACAATTTTCTCTAAAGAGTATGCAAGTCTTGGACAAAATATGAGAAATTTTTCCTTAAAAACAGTGGAGCGTGAGGTTTCATCTCAAGTTTATTAGCTAAATATAGTTTCTCATGGAGAGGAAAATATGGTTAGTGAGTGAATTTGGCTACTACTAGTTATACCTTATTTGTCAATTAATAGCCAACTAACTTGGAATTGGTGAAGTTGGTCAATAAGCAGCATAGAACTTGTGTACATACCAACTTTCAGTATTTTGTTTTTGATAACAGAATTAATTCTATTGGAGTATTCTACTGTTTCTCATGGTCTATGTCTTAATTGGTAGCTATAGAAATGAATGAGGAAAGAGATAGTATCTCATTAACTTATTGTTCTTTTTATGAAGGTATTATGTGTAACTAGGGTAAAAGAGAAACGTTGCGTTAGGTAGGCAGTCCACTCAAAATTTATCGCAACTGACCATAAATCATGAAGCTACATTATCTGTTAATACTAGGACGTTCCCCATAAGCCATGTATTATAGTAGGGAAGAGAGGCGCCTACCCTTTTTTTTTTTTAAGTAGATTATGAGTTACATTTTTTAAAGTGTTAGTGGGGTGGTGTTATACGTCTTACTAACGGTATGACTCTTTCCTTTTTTTTGGTGTTAGTGGGGTGGTGTTATACGTCTTAACTAAAGGTATGACCCTTTTCTGTTTTTTTGAGTACCTATTTTTTGTAAGTAGATTATAAGTTAGATTTTTAAAGTGTTAGTGGGGTGGCGTTGCCGATAAGAATGGAAACCACAAAATGGTGACTAGGCATGAGGATGCTACCACCACTACTTGAACCTCTTTTTTACTAAAAGTATGACCCTTAATATACCAAAAAGACAGAACAAATTTCATGTAGTTGACCTTAAATATTTGAGATAAGTCTATGCTGATTATGTTAAAGGTATCGTTCGTGGGCGCCACCTACAAACTCTTGTGGAATCAATAGAAAATTGGGTTATTTAGAAACCATATACTGTACCTAATATTCTAGTAGCATGGGCACCATTGATTTTCCATTAATTATGAGGACCTCTCCAATTGTATAAATATATGTGTGTATCATTTTCTTTTTTTCGCATTTTACACGGTTTTAATATTTTCTTTGCTTATTCAGAATTAAAAGATCTAGATAGAGAAATGAAGAAGGAAATATATATTACGGTCCTGATGTCTATTTGGTCATAGGGATCATCACCATGAAGTCTAGTGGTCTGACGGTGATGGTGAGCGAATCGGTTGGCCATAAACGTCATATTATTGCAGGTCTACTTTCTATACCAATCCCAACCCTTCCTACCATAATATTTTTATGGTCATGAGAATTATAGTATGATTTCATAAGAAAGCTACTCTTTGACCTAGTGTTCACAAAATCGAACTAGAATGGTCAACCGGACATGAGCCCGAAGCAGTTTAATCAGCCGATTCAACCACTCTAACGGGCAAGTCAAGATGGCAAAAAAAGTATTGAAAAATAAAAAAGATACAAAAAAAATCTACTAAAATATGAAAAACAAATAAAGAATGATTAAAACAAAACACATTCAAATGAAGTTGAAAATTAATGAAAAAAACTAGATTTTAACAAATCGATTTTTAAATTAAAGTGAATATTAATGACCAAAACAGATTTTTAAATTAAAGTGAGTATTAATGATACAAGAAGATCACTATTATCAGTTGTCGTTAGATTTAAAAGCAGACGGTTAGGGATGTGCCATTGACCAAGCGTAACGTTCAAAAGAAAATTTATTGATCTTTGCTACACATCCTAAGCTTTAAATTTGACATATATTGGTTTAAAACAATTGTGACCTCCTTCTACCAAAGAAAAAAAGTCTTTATAATACACAATTCCGACATACCCTTGAGTTAAAAAGGCCATCAAACAAGCCCCTAGTATTATCTATTGAATATTTTGCTCATTTATCTAAACACATTTAAAATATAAAAAAGTACAAAACAAGACCATTTATCAAAGAATAATAGTTTTTATAGTATGCAATCCCAATCCCAATAAATATAGAGTGTACAGCATGCTTATGCTAAAGCATATTGTACACTTCTTCCTTTGGGGAGAAGACTTGTTTAGGAAGATTTTTTTATATCCGAAATCTTAGGAACACCTAAAAAATATTAGATAATCCTACATGGGCTCCTATGGGAATATAACTATCTTTTGAGACTCTTATAATTACGAGCATTTTCATATGGTCATAAATCAATAAAAAAAACGTGCGACATGTTAAATAGTAAGGGTGACAGTGGGCTGGCCGAGCCAAAAATAAAAAAAATTAAAAAAAAAACAAGGAGAAAAATGATGAAGTTTTCATAAGGCTTAAAGCTTTATTAAAACAAAATAAAGCCCCACCTTGAATCCTGCTCCTATAAAAAATCTCTATAATGGCTCTAAAATCAACTTTCGACGTCAATTATAAAATTTAAAATTCAAAATATAATATAGATCTTGTGGATCTGGGAACACTCATTCTTAGGGTGAAATAGACAGTCTAAATAATATTGTACAATATACATTATTTTTAGGGCTTGAAATCTTATTTTTAAAAAAAACTACATTAATCAAGGTCGAGATGATCGATTCAAAGTTTTTCCCAAAAGTGACGTTTTACTCTTTTTTATATAAGAATCAAACATTTTCCAAAAAAAAAAAAAGAAAAAAGGGTCAAGTCAGGCAAACTGGGCCAAGCCCTAATTTTTTAGATCCGGGCCGCCAGCCCATTACCAGCCCTAGCTATTAAATTTCTTTCAAAATTTCCCATTAAAAAAAAAGAAAGGCAAGCATGCCGTTTCTCTCTAGTTGAACATCGCCATTTTAACGCCCCATCATGCGTCCAAGGGGTATTTTGGTCCCTGGATAATTATCGAGCGATCCATTCTCTCCCCATTGGGTGCAGGGGTCGTACTCCGCTCATGTATAAAAAGGCATGTTGCTATATAAAGGCCTCACACTCTGCAAAAAAACATAGGAGAATTCTCCCTCTCCTTTCTTCCATTTGTAATTAAAAGTATGATGTTTTCATGAAGGAATTTCATTCCAATCTTTTATAAAGCCTTAGTACTCATACTATAAATAATCCCCATAACAAAGGAGAAGAAGAAGAAGCAGTTGTCCTGAAAATAGGGAAAAAAAAAAAAACTGGGCGAAAAGGTCAATTGGAATTCGATGGATTCGGTGCTATGGGCAGTTACTGCTTCCTCTCCCTTCTTCCTATAACTAATTCAAGCAATTAAATAAATTGCTAAATTTTATCCACATCATATTGTCTGTTTTTGTCAAATCCGCCCTGTTCAATCTCTACCTCATAATATCATCTCTGTGGAAATGGGTCTGTTTCTTTTTTGTGACTGAGAAGGAAAAGAAGAGAGTGGGTTTAACAGAAGAATGGAAGGAAAAATAGGGGAGGTAAGAAGAGTTCATATTGTGTATTTTCTGAGTAGGAAGGGAAGGATAGATCACCCCCATCTCATCCGAGTGCTTCCGCTTCATCGAAACGGAGTTCGTCTCAAAGGTTAGTGCATTTTTCTACTTCCTTTTTTGATTAATTCTATGGTTCTTGGATGATCAGATGTTTCTTTTCTTTTCGTTTTCGTTGCAGATGTTAAGCGATGGCTTTCGGATATTCGAGGGAAGGACATGCCCAATTCCTTTGCTTGGTCATACAAAAGGTTCATAATCCAAATGAATAGCCCAAGACTTCTATCAATTCTTGGTTTCTTGCAGTCGCTTAGAATTGGAAATCCTTGTAATTTGTTGGTTTTTCTTTTAATTCTTTTGAGGATTTGCAGAAGATACAAGGCGGGCTACGTGTGGCAAGACTTGCTCGACGATGATCTCATCACTCCCATCTCCGATAATGAATATGTCCTCAAAGGCTCCGAGATCTCTCATTCTGGTAAACAGAAAAAAAATGCTTCTCCTTTTCTTTCGGTAAAAATCATTGTACTTGTCTTAAAATTGAGAAAATTGATGAATTGATACTCAAAACAGAGGGGTGTTCTTGTGGTTGTGCAAAGACAAATGTTGTTTCTAGTGAGAATCAAAAGATAACCGAAGATTCGGAGATCGAGGTCGCAACTCAAGAACAACCACAGTGTGAATCGAACTGCAAGCCCGATGACGACATCTCCAAATCCTCAATTCATGAACAAGAAGAGGAGGAAGAAGTGAGAAGAACGTCCTCTTCTTCTTCATCGTCTTCTTCCTCTTCTTTGATTCTAGCGCAAGGTCCTCAATCATCAGACTCATCTCCGGGTGTAATCCACGAAAATCCCTCAGCTTCTATCAGGCAAAACCTTTCTCTTAAGATCATCCAAAAGGAAGCGGAACTGCCCGAAAATTCAAACCCACCCGAGTTTTCCAGCAAGCCTTCTTCTCTAAAGGCCGAGGATCAGAATGGGATCAGTAATGGCCCGAAAAAGAGTGGGGCTTCGTCGAGCTCTCTTCACATGTTTCGAAATCTATTGAGTTGCGGAGGAGTCGAAACCAATGAATCTAAAATCAAAATGATGAGCAAAAACAACCCCAACAGGCCAGTGGATCAGAATTATCAGCATCAACAACAAGAGCAAGAGAAGAAGAAGAAGAAGAAGAAGAAGGTGGTGGCGTTTAGCAATGGAGAGAGCAAGAGTGGAGGAATGGAGATAGCTGTGAGATCAGAGGGAATCGCCAATTGGAATGGGTCGTCCTGCAAAAACAGGTAAAGAAAAGGAAAGAGCAATGCATGAATTTTGGCGCTTCGCCATCTCTTTTATTTTTAATTTCCCAGCGTTCTCCCCGCTGACCTCTTTAACTTCGCTCAGCCTTTCAATGCTTTAATTTTACTCTTTCAGAAGGGAAAATTAGGCTCTAGACGGCCCTTTGGTTTACCATACAGATCACCAGTGGTCTATGGTAGAGTTATTATTGTGCTTTTCACCGAACCCGGAGAGGGTTTTGGGTCCGTCAAAATCTATCTAATAATTAATGGTCGAAACTAGTAAGACTGGATTGTAGTGTAAAAAATGAAAATTATACATAATATATAAAATAAATTATAAAAAGTTGTCCAAATTCATTTAACGAGTCAAACTAGCTAAAACTTTAGATTGACTTAGTCAGAACCGATTAAACATTGGTTTTTGTCAAGTTTTAGCCGAACCTAATTTTTCTTTTGGATCAGTTCAGCCAAAGCATTGATCGGCATCCAGCCAGTCCGACCATCTGTTAAGTCAAATCGTAACCAATTTTTAGCCAAACCCAAATTTTCTTTTGGATAAAATTTTCTTCTGGGTTTTCATTTTCAGTAAAATGGAAAGAAAATGCATGCCTTTCCATGCATAGTACACATCTAAGATAACCAGTACGCATCCAAGATAACCATGGTCCATTCTTGACACTGACGGTTGAGATTAGCAGAACCCAGATGAACCTGTCACCAGGAGGGAATGTCAATATCCGCCAATGAATGTTGAGAATGATGGCTCATTTCGAGGTAGTTTGACATTCCAAAGCACAAAACCCGTTAAAGACTTAATTTTATTAGGGAATTTTTTTGAAAGGCGTCATATTCAAATGTTTCTCTCTTCCAAAACCCCTCTAAAGATTAATGTATTTGGGTTTTGAAATGCACTCTTTAAGTCAATCTAGAGGTAATTCTAGTTTAAATTTATGACTTTGCAGCTAAAATAGTTGCACAGATCTGACGATTCATGAAGAATTAAAATAAACTGTGATGAAGAGCTCCAAAAACAAAGTCAAAATAGTTTATTTTTAAAGTTTAAATCCATTTATTTTTAAAGTTACAAACCCATTTTTCTTTTGTCAAATTCATGATCGTGGAGATCAAGATTGCCAACTCATAAAACTTTAGGTCCAAAATTTTTTTTTTACGCATTTCAATAAAGGGAAAGGTTTCTATAGCATAAAAGATCTATGCTTCTCTTACCATCCAGCTTTCTAATTTTGATCGAGATAGCCACTCACTGTTAGATCCGACGTCTCAAAGTATTTTATTTTTATTTGTTTTATACAAATTGTATAAATATAAAATTTGGTACGCGCCATCTTCTCATTGGCGTGCACCTATAAAAGTATTAAAAAATAATTTTTTGGTATAATATAATGACCAAAATACCTTTTAAAATATTCAGGGGTATTTTGATCATTTTATTTTATTGGAAATATTCGTTTTATATTTTTTGATAGTGAGAGTTTAATAGAGCATAGGATGTCCGAATTTTAGTGTCAAAATAGTTTATAGAAAAAAAATTAAAAATAAAATAGTGTCGAGCCATGACATTCTTATTGGAGCAATCTTAGCCTTCCATTCAAAATAGACGGTTGGATAAGGAGAAATATATAAGTTTTATGTGGTAGGGGAAACATAAAAAGCTTGCCTTGAATAAATGTTTTAGCTAATTTAAACCTCAAGCAATTATATTCTACTTTTGAAAGGTAAGTATAGCATTCACAAAATGTGTGTCCATTAATGTGCTTGCTAACATCATCATCATAGCTTTTTTCCAACTAATTGGGGTCGTCTTCGTTCCAATTAATTGGGGTCGTCTTCGTTCTTCCTATGTATAAGTATCATATAATACTCGGGCAGCCATGTTATGTTCTAAAGATGGAGTATAGAGACTTAATTAAACCTTTATCATCCATCTTAAGCTGTTGTGGATAACCACCTGCTTATATTATATATCATACACATCAAGTCTACGCTATAGTTTATATTTAAAAATCCATGATCAGACTAGGAGTTACATATACATGCACCCATCAAGTCCTTTTTACAAGGTCAATTCTTTTAGTAAAAAGACTTGATTGATACATATAAGACCCAGTCCACAGAACTCCCATGAGCACTCTCTGCACTCTGCAAAATAATTGCGACAAAGCTTTATATAAAGCATCAATTTTATAACGTTATATTATAGGAGTAAGGTGCACATAAAAAAGCCCATTAGAAGAGATTGTTTTAATGCCGGAAAACCTTATTATCAATAATCTCGACCGTAAAATATATGCATATGATAAAAATAATAATTTCAAGTCGTAAGCATGGTACATCTTATGATATATGGAAACATATATAATGACACCATTTACTTTTGAAACAAGCAGGTCACAAGCACGATTAACTGTTAGATTTGAAATTAGGTGGTTGAGGATGTGTTATTATTTAGGTACATGGTTCCAAACAAAATTTTTCGAATGTTGTGATACTCTATCATTTATTGGATTTCACATCTAATGGCTAAAAATGATTGTGACCTCCTTCTACCAAAAATAAATAATTTCAGTCTATAATCCCATAATATATTACCTTGATAGTCAATTTTCAAGTATTTATAGATCTGCTCTATATGCACTATTTTTGGAATAATAAGTTTCATAAATAAAGGTGGAAATAGATAATTAAGCCATCGTAGAGATTCCTAGCATTGAAACTCAATCTTCCAACAAGATTTGTAGGTGTATTTTACTGTAATTGTTTGAGGTACCTTTCAAAGCTAGTATACGGTAGTTAGCCTATATAATCATTCTACTTTCTCAATGTAAGCATGAAGTTAAGTGACTGTGAGAACAAATATAAGAAAATACTCGTTAAAAACAACCAAAGGTATGTGACGAGAAGTTCAAGGAATGTGATTTTCAATACAAACAACCTAATTAGTTGCATTTTGCAACCATGGGCCCGCATCCCAAACCGACGATGGTTATGCAAATTTCGTCTCGGTTTTTATTTATTTATTTATTTATTGTTTTTATTTTTTATTTTTAAATAAGATGCATAAAGTGATATATCTATAAAATTTTAAAATACCAAGATGAGATAAAAATTGTTTCTAATGCAACATGGTATTAGGTTTTTAAGCCGGAAAGAGAAATTAGTAATAAATTCTGTTAAAATTTTCTTGCTTGAGCTTGGACTTGAGTGGTTCGTAATTGACGTCAAAGAGCGTTGCATCTCAAGTAATGTAAGAATAATCGGGTGGTTCAAACTCTTTAGACCCTATTTGATGGGAATTAACCACCTGTTTTAGTGAACAGGTCGGGTATTTTTAAAGAAATAATTCAAAAAAATTTACATAAAATCACAAAAAATAAGGAATTTTGTTTGTAATGAATTTTTTTAATAATTTTCATCATTTTGGCAGACATTGGAATTGTTTTGGCCATTGATACTTGTTTTTACATTTTTCTATTTTTTTTGGAATATTTCAAAAATACCAATCATGCTTTAAATATATTTTTTATATTTTATTTTTTTCACTTTTTTTATTGCCTTGGACTTGCCGAGTTAGGGCGGTTGAATTGGCAGGTTAACTCTCAGGTTAGGGTGGTTGAACTAGCAGGTTAACCGGTTTGGTCGATTAAATTGCTTTCGGCCTTATGTCTGGTTAATCATTTCGGTTCGATTTTTCCTACATTGATCTCAAATTCAAATTCAATTTCTACGGCTGAACTGCCAAAATAAATAAATTACATCCATAGTATTTTTAATTTTATTGTCCTAGAGCAATCAAAAACTTAAAAAAAAAAAAACTTGTAGAATTCTAATGTAATTTACGGGCAATTAGTGCTCCTTTGACATAATCGAATAGCCGTTATTTATTAATAGAAATATCGAATGTAATTTACGGGCAATTTAGTGCTCCTTTGACATAATCGGTTAGCCGTTATTTATTAATAGAAATATCGAAACAAGTCCTTAATGTAATTTACGGGCAATTTAGTGCTCCTTTGCATAATCGGTTAGCCGTTATTTATTGATAGAAATATCGAAACAAGTCCTTATTTGTTCAAGTGGCAATATATGCTTGCAATATTTTGTAGATCCTTCGGACACTGACTAGGCTTAGGAACAAACGGCTTTACCCTAACAAAGAAAAGAGGCATTAATTGATTAGTGGGCGTGGTTTGTGTAAGGTTGCAACCTTAAACAATCCAGACACACCTCCAAATTTTATCATAATATGTAATTTTGATATAAAACATTCTTAGGATCATCTCAAAATCTTTTTTTTTATCTAATTTTAAAATTTTAAACTTCAAAAATGGTTAAAATCAAATAGATCTATAAATATATAAAAATCTTGAAAATGGATGGTCAAGATAATGTGTTGTAAGATGCACTATTTCTAGGACTCAAAATCTTTTTTTTTTTATATATTCATACATCTTGATGTCGAGATGATAGATTAGAGGGCGTTTCAATATAAAAACAAGATTTTCCAAAAGATTTTTGAGGTGCATCTTTAATTCTACATTTAAGATCGGAACCTTATATAAACTTTTCCCTTGATTAATTAATTATATGATGCTACCGGATATGAGCAAGGACCACAACTCCTTGTCCTTCCGAACTAGAGAATGGGTATATATGGGTGTAGTTTCTATAAGGTTGCAACCTTAAACAATCCAATTAAGGCGTTCCTTTAAATTTTATCATAATTTGTAATTTTGATGTAAAAATTCTTAGGATTATTTGAAAATCTATTTTTATATCTAATTATAAAATTTTAAACTCCAAAAAAGATTATTTATATGAAAATCTTGAAAATGGACAGTCTATAAAATGTGTTGCAAGATGCATTATTTCTGGGACTCAAAATCTTTTTTGTTTTTCATATTCATACATCTTGATGTCAAGATGATCAATTATAGAGTTTTTTAACATTAAAACAACATTTTCTAATGGATTTTTAGGTGCATATGTAATTCTACATTTTAAGGTTGCAACCTTAAAATACAGTTTTGCTGCCACAAAGCCTTGTGATGATATAAAAATGTATTGTGGCCCCTAGTTATAGAATTTAAAGTTCTAGAAATGATGATGATCAAGCATATCTTTTAATATTTAAAAATCTTAAAAATGGATAGTCCACATAACCTATTAGAAGATGAATTATTTTTGGACTAGAAATCCTTTTTTTTTTTAATATCTATGAATCTCAAGGTTGAGATGATCGATTTGAGGGTTTTCCAACATAAGAACAACCTTCACTAGTGGGTTTTTTAGATGCACGATACTCCGTAAGGTTGAGACCTTACATAAACTTTTCTTTTTATATATGGAAATATAGATTGTACACTAGTGGGTTTTTTAGATGCGCCATAAGGTTGAGACCTTATATAAACTTTTTCTTTTTATATATGGAAATATAGATTGTAGCTCTATCAAAATAAGTAAAGCTTCACTTTATAACTCATCGAATATTACAATTTGAGCATTAGAAAACCTTTATGTCGATCATCTTGGCTTGATCTGTGGAAAAAAAAAAAAGATTTCAAGCTCTAAAGATGCGGTTATTGCAACAAATTATCTAGACCGTCTATTTCACCTTAAAAATAAGTGTTCATAGATGCACAACATCTATACCATTTTTTGAGTTTCAAATTTCATTGTCAATGTTGGAAATTGATTTTAGAGCCATCATAGATATTTTTGTTGCCGAAAATGTTTGTTTTGGATGAGGATTTGAGGTGAGGCTTTATGTTGTATTCATAAAGCCTAGGCGTTATAGAAATCTCGCCATTTATATATTGAGGATCTTTTCCATAAAAATTATTTTGTGATGATCATAATCATTTCCATTTTGCAGGGTACCCGAAAGAAATTAAATATGCATCCTTGTCCAGGACAATAAAATCTCTACCGAATTGTGTTCTAATGAATGATCTATTCATTGTATTGGTACTTTTTTGGGCAGAGGTCTTGGTCTATTCGTCTCAACTTTGGCGTCATCTTGGTAGGAAAGGGCGCGTATATTCTACTCCTGTGGGAGCAGATTGTATACTTGCTCCCTCAGGTGAAAGATCTATCTATTTAATAAGTAATGACCGTATGAGACCCTCTCACATCCATATATATAGAACTTTAAATGATCGCCATTAAATTTGACACAAAATTTGACAAAGATCTCTAAAAAGTCAAATCCCACACCCATATGATAATTCTTTTAGAGATGTGTGCCAAATTAATAGTGATCATTTAAGATCCTACACACATGGGTATATGGGGGTCTCATAGAATCATTACTCTTATTTAATATATTTTTTTTGGTTGGATTTTTGGGATCCATAAAGAAATCACGACAACCATGTAAATAGGATTTTGAATCCTTAAACAGCAAGATTTGATTGTCCAAAAATTGGGTGGTTGTCAGTTTAATCTTAGATCATTTTTCTGTTGGCCAAGGCAAAGAATGTTTTAAAGTTTTAGAGCGTTCGGCTATTAGTACAACATTGATTAAACTCAAAGTTCAAAGAAAAAAAATAAACATGTGCCACACCCCAAACCATTCAATTTGACATCTAATAGCTATGAGTGATTGTAACCTCCTTATAGCAATGATAAATTACAATCATAGTTAGTAATCATTGGCAAATTCGGTGTTGTTCAACTCTGCAGGAAAACCTACGATAGTGGACGAAAGGCTTCAGATATGGTGAACCAAAAGATTGTTTCAGCGGTTTTCAAACCCGTTGCAGAGCCCAATTGCTCGTAAGTACTCTCTCTCTCTCTCTCTCTCTAAAGTATAGGGGTGGAAATGGATCTGGCCATACCTGGGACCCGACCGGTAGACCCAACCTCGGGTCCGAATTTTGGACTCAACAAAGTCGAGTCTGGGTCCAAAACCTACACCCGAATACTATTGAGGCTCGAGGTCTAGGTTTAGCCAGACCCGACCCAAATAATATGGGCAAATGCAGGTATTCATAAATATTGCCAATACATTTGTTTTTTAGAAATTTCTTAGGAATTCAGTTACTACGTAAAACAATAAAAAATGTAGGTATATATAGGTATTCATTAATGTTGAGCGATACTGTAAATGTTGCCAATAAGATGGTTAAAAAAGGGGCAAAAAAAATAAAAAGAAAAAAAGAAGCTTGCAATGGTCCCCACCAGACCCGACGGGTAGACCCAACCTCAGGTATGAGTATAGGTTCAAATTTTAGACCCAGAAGGTTGGATCCGGGTCCAAAACCTGAACATTCTTTGGGTCTGGGTTTGGGTCCAAAACCTGGACAGTATTCGGGTTTGGGTCCGGGTCTGGGTCCGGGTCCGGGTCCAACCATTGCCATCCCTACTAGGATATCACAATTTCACTAAAAAACTTGGCTCTCTCTCTCTCTCTAAAATATCACAATTTTAATGGAACAAATTGTTCACTATGTCTAGAAAACATTGAAAAACAATCCCTCTTCCCCCTCTGGTCCTCCCCTTTTTTGGCCTTATTGCCGTCGTCTCTCTCACAAAAAAAAGCACTCTGTCTTGTGGTGCAGGCTGTGTGGAAAGAGGTTCAAGCCAGAGAAGCTTCATGCACATATGCAGTCTTGTAGAGTTGTACGGGGGATGAAGAGTGATGCTGCATTCAAGACGGTCCAAGGAGCTAAACCACAATGCCCTCTCACACATTCTTAGAAACCCAACTGTAACATTTTTTTAGCTTCTTATGTTATGTTTGTAGAGAGAGAGATGTAAATTTTATTTTAGCATGTTATGTAAAGAGAGAGAGAGAGAACTTAGAATTATGATGAGATTAACGTTGTGAGAGGGAGAGATAGTTCAGGAGAGTTCAGCATTACATAATTACTTTTATTCCAAAAATGGAAAAATCCATCTTTCTACTTTGGATAAAGACGCTTTAGTGTGCTTGAGGTCTTATTCGATGCTCGCTAAATGAAAGATTGGTCTATGCGTAATTGGTTCTGTTACGTTTCATGCATGATTAATCCATATTAGTGTGGATAAATGTTTAGAAGATTGCCTCAACCAAGGGCTTGGCCGAGGTGAGTTACTTGGCCGAGTTGGAGTGGACCTAGCCTAGTCCTCTAGACGACCAAGAAGCTTTCAATATATATATATATATATATATGGAAAAGTCTTCTCAATGCCTATGAGCAAAAATGAACGGTGATTTTGTCTACTTTCATCACCGTCCAAAATTCATCACACAGTTACGATTGTTCGGTAGTATTTCATTTTTCATTTTTTTTATAAATCAGAATTATTTGAAATTTGGAGCGTGTGTACATCTTAGTGAAGCGCACCTAATAAAAATATATATATCAAAAAATTCACGAAAAGAAATTGACTAAAATACCTTTGAAACATTTCAAGGGTATTTTGGTCAAATTATTTCATATAAACTATTTTTTTTGATATTTTTTAGATTCGCCTATTTTTTATGAACACACGCTCTAAATTTCATATCAATCCGACTTCTAGAAAAAAAATGAAAAATAAAACACTACCGAACAATCATGACTGCGGGATGAACTTTAGACGGTAATGAAGATAGGTAAAATCACTGTTTATTTTTTTCTATAGTCGCTTTGTAGTATATATATATATATGACCATCCCCTATTCATGTGTGTAGGACCCCAAATGATCACCATTAAATTTGACACAGATCTATAGAAAAATCAAGTCACACACCCATGTGATAATTTTTCTAGAGACCCATGCCAACTTTAACAATAATCTTTTAAAGTCCTACACACACGAGTGAAGGAGGGTCCTATAAGATCATTACTTTTATTTATTGATATATATATATTTCTTCGCACAACTCAACTAAAGTGACCTCAACCCATGGAGTAAGGCCAAGTTACTCGCTCGAGTCCCATGTAACACTGCTTTCGATGTAGCTAAAGTTAATAGATTTTTGGGTCATCATCTGAAGATCATGAGATAAGTACATAATTTTTAGATTGAAAGTAAATTAGTGTACTATGTAAGCAAAAAAATGGCAATCTTTGAATTTTTATAAATGTGAAATTTGTCTTCTCTTAGAAGCCGCTATGGATATATAACATGATGCAGTCACTCTCCCTTCCCAGCGAATTTCTCTCTCTCCCCTTTTGGTCATAAGGAGGAGGGACCCTAGTGTTATTTCGAGAAAAGAATTGAGGACCCCTTCGTCATTTTTTGGATGATGGGACCCATTGTTATTGGAAACAATGGATGAGCAACTAACTGAAAAGGGTTAAACTCAACCTTAATCAACACACATACAAATGTGTTATGGCTTTGTAGGTGCTATAAAGGGAAGAGATGAACCCCTTGAAGAGAGAGAATCTTAGAGATAGACAACCTCTCAAGACTGAAACCTTAAGAGTATCTTAGAGAGAATGAGAGAGATTCATAATCCAAAAGAAGAAGTGTCTCTTGAAGTAGGATACCCAGGACAGAGATATTATCTCTTGAAAGGAGGAGTTTGCTCCATCAAATCTTCTTAACTTATTACCTTAGTGATTTTTTGTTGCCTCTGTCTTGTGGATGTAGCCTGACAGGGTGAGCTACATTAAATTAAATATTTTTTGTACTCTTTTTTTTTGCTTTGTTTGCTTGTTTGTTTTTATTTCTTTACGCACACATACACAAAATGTATTATTTTTGGCCCCCCACTCCCCCAAGTGAAATGAGACTAACAGTTGTAAGTGCTATGCCTATGGGTTTGAAAGTGTGATGCACTTCTTTGATGCTTGACACTATAGCACCAGATTCAAAACATCAAGATGCACCTATAGGATCAGCTAGCATACTTTCAAATAAAAAAAGTGTATTGTATTCCTCCCGACATTATTCCCCTTAAATTTGCAAAACCTAGTATTATGACCTGTTTTCTTACCAGTATATCATTGTGTTTTTTCCCTCTTGGGTTTATTATTTTCAAATTCCTTTTATCTCCTTGTCTTATTTTCTTCATTCATTCTCTTAGTAATATTTCCCCCTTTCCCTTATATGTTTGAAGTTAGGCTTATAATATACCATATGCACCAAATCTTTCATGTTTGTGCAATCCGAGCATTTCTCCGTTCTTCGGCCCTCAAGAGCATGATCAAGTCCTCCATCTTTGATGTACTTTCACACAGGCTGCTAATAATGAGATAAACCCTTCCTATGAGTTAGGGAGAGTGTTCAAAAGGTGACATGCTTGTGGCTTCATTTTAATTGGTGTGCCACTTCAGCCGAGAGACAAAGAGAGGGCATGGGTGAAGAGAACTTAGCCACTCATTCCAGTAAGAACCTTATCTTTCAATTTTTTTAACTATTCCCATTAAATATTGCATGGATCTTTAAAAAAGTCAAGTCCCACACCCATGTGATAATATTTTTAGGGATCCATACCAAATTTAATGGTGATCCTTTGAGGTCCTACACACATGGGTGGATGAAGGTCCTATAAGATCATTACTCATAAAAAAAAAAAGTGATGTGTCATATAAATGTTACTTCTTTCTGAATTTTGAACCAATCGAGCTTCTCTCTCTTCCATCATAGAAAGTTTATCCCATAAGTGAAAGCATGAGAGAGAAAGAGAACAAAAATATGAAAGGAAAGTATATATTGTATACCCGATTAATATGGAAGGCATATATTGTAGCCTACAATAAAACTTTCTCTAGAAGATGTTGTTTTGATGCCCAAATATCTTCAAATTGAGCATCTTGATATCAAGATATATGGACATGAGAAAAAAATGGATTTCAAGTTCTAGAAATAGTGTATTTTGTACCGTATTTTTGTACCGTCAATTTTCAAGTTTTCATAGATTTGTCAATCTACATTATTTTTGAAGCTTTAAACTTTACAAATAAAGATGAAAATATATTTTAAAGCTATCAAAAAGATTTTCAGTATTGAAACCACATTTCTCGGCACTATTTGAAAATAGGCTCTAATTTGATTGTTTAGAGGCTAGGCTCTATACAAACAGCACCCACATTGTAATAGGTATATTTGGGTAGGGTAGATACAATATCTTGTACTTATGGTAAGTCTGAGTATAGTATAGTAAGCTGTGATTTATTTCTATATTTTCTCATCTGTAATTTGTTTATAAAAAAGAAGTTTATGAGTATCTTCAGAGAAACCTGATATTCTTTAAGTGGGATGAGAACTAGATTCATATGTGTCCATTCCTTGTCTCTGAAACATTAACATCGATTTTCAAGATGAGTTTGTTGTTCACCTAGTCGGTGTAACTTTTGTTGAGTCGTGTTTGGACTCTCTGCTGAGTTGTGTTTTGACTCTCAGATCTATCTCTCTATTGAGTCGTTTTCACCTCTCTAATATGTTGTTCTCTCTAGGATTGTCTGCAATTTTTGATATGGGATTTTAGGGAGCTTCCTCTTGTTTTCCCCCTTAGCAGCAAAATTGCACAAGCCTCTTGGTGTTAATTCCTCCTCCAAACCCTGCTCCCTTCTCTCGATAACCCCACCTCTGAACTCCCTCTCTCATCCCAAAGAATCTACAAACCCCATTACTCCATCTCATTAAAATACTCTACCCATCCAATCCCAAATTCTATAGCGCCCTTCTCCCACTATCCACTGTCATCGATTTGCAAAAGTGTTAGGTTTATGTGGCCTTTATAGGCCTTATGACTGCTTGTAAAATGAAATGATATAGTGGAACATGAATTCAATGGGAGTGTGGTCCCTCGCGGACCATACCAAGCAAATGATGGTTTGCTGATACTAATATGTGCTTAACGATCTAAGCCAGTCAATTCGGAAAAACCCACGTTATCTGGGCATGAAGAACAAATCGATGAGGGTTTATGGGTTAGCCCTTGATGAGGTCGGAGAACATGCTCGGATGAGTGAGTCGAGGGACTGTGTGACTCTTGTGTGTGATGGTGGCCTACAGAGACAGGAACCTCATCCATGTACCATCACACGGCATGCATATCGATAGATTTTTTGGGAAAATCAGAAATCCACCTTTTAGGGTGAAGCGTATGCATGTACGAGAGATATCCCTATGTGCCATTGAGCTGTGGTCGCAGAAGGTATTGGTGACATTGACTTGTTTTTAGGGGAGGACATGTAATCCACAGACTGAGATTATGACCCCTTAGCTCATCCACCAAACTTTGGTGACCCGCTAATGAGTCACTGCTTGGACTATGGGTCATGGGAAATATCGGATCAGTTCGAGAAGGCAAGTATGGTATATAGTCCACAGTTGAAGGTGGAGTGCCCCATGATTGCAGATTAAATTCATTAACCATATGGATTTATTTCCCATCAAGTTAATTTAATTATGTTTGTTTTATGATAGAAATTATTTTATAACTATTATTTGAATTTTTATGAGTCATTTGATATTTTATTTATAATTTTTTTGGACTTATAAAAATGAAGATATTGATTTTACAAATTATAAAATTTAAATAATGTTTTAGAATTTTTTTTTGATAATTTAAAATTATATAAAATATCATCGAGGGGCTTATAGCGCACATGGGCCCACCATGTGTCAAGTGGGTAGGGCCTATATGTGCCACACATGGGTGGCACGTCCCACCCATTGGATCCTTTCTTGGAGTTGAAGTTATTTCAGGTTTTGGTAATATTATGTTATGGCATGTGGTCAAATAAAATATGGAATATTTTTACCATATATTGACTAAATATTGAAAGTGTATATTGACTTGATATATCTTTGAAATATTTTGTAAAAGATTATGGAATGTATAATATTTTAATTAGATTTAATTTATCTAATTTCTATTTATGTGAAAATGGTTAAGGAAAATGGGACAATGGTCCATGCACCGTCTATAATATTGATGGCCCATCTATGGAATTGATGCATCAGATCTCTCACCCCACAAGTCACCCTCGATCGACGGTCTATGTTCAATCTCACAAGAATAGGCAAGCCAAGGAAAACCCTAAGAAACCCTAATCTTGTTCAAGCTTATAAGAAATGGATTGTCTCTATCCAAAATCTCTACATCTTATCTTTCTATCTCTCTCTCTTAAGAAAGTTTCTCTCTATCATGTTTGATCTTTCTCTCCCACATTGTGAAAGAACCTAAGGGTTTAGGTTATGGAGTTCTTATCTCTCAAATATTGATTTATGGCTAAGGATTTTAGGGTTTAACAAAAAAAGAATCCATCTCTCTCAAACTAAGTTGCTAAGAGAAATCACCTAGGGTTTGAGTTTGTGATCAAAGGGGTTCATGTTCTATTGGTGTGGCTTGGCCGAAATTTGCTTTCCTAGTTCAAGATTGAAGCTAGACAGCTGATCCTGCACCATCGGATGGTGGTGACTTGGTGTGGAGTGTAATAAGCCCTGTTGAGGTAATCTCCGGTACTCTTCCTTTTATTTCTTGCAATCTTATCTTCTATCTCAAGCATAGTGCATAATTGTTTCAATGGCATCAAGTTGTTAAGATCTTGGTTTTCTTGTTATGTTGATTTTATTTTGAAATTTATCTTATTATAATAAAAACCACATGTAAGTGATCTTTTGCCAACAAAAAGGGGTGAAGAAAAAAGAAAAAAATGTATTCCCCGATAAAATATCATATAGGTCTCTCTTTTATTGGTATCAGAGCTATTGATACTTGATGTCATTAGTTGTCTTTTCTCTTCATTGAGTTTAGATCAAGATTGGGAATGAGATATAAGAAAACTAATGACCCTTGTAGTCAAGAAATACACCCACGGTTAAGAAATTATTGAAATATTCCAACATTAAAAATGCACTCTACATAATGAGTATTCTAGGCTATTTTGGAGTAGTGATATGAAAAATATAATGAGGTATTTTTCTATTACATACTTCAGTAATATTTTGTGTTTTTAAGATTATGATTTACTTGCAAAATTTCAGTGGGAGATCATGTAGGAATTGAGAGTTATGGACTCAACAATGAAGGGTGTCAGTTCTGACCATGCAAAATTCAAGAACTATCCATTACATTCCATGATTTTTTTTCACCAATAATATGATTTTATTTCTAGCTGAAATTGGACTATGACTCATAAAAATTGAGTCTACTTTAAAAAAAAAAAGGTTTCATCAAGAAAGTCCTTATGGTTTGAAAGATATGATCAATTTATTGAAGGATGCGCAAGTGTTGTTTTCTGTAATGAAAATTATTTTCATGACTTGGAAGTTAAGATTTAATTTCTATTCTTAACAGAATGTTTTATAGTTTATATTAAGTTTTTTTACTTCCATTCTGAGTCTAATTAATAATAAAATTTATATGAGAGAGAAATATCTATGGGAAGAGAAGAATAAAAATTTTGGCTTGAAGAGAAGTCATCCTAAATTTTTTGCAATTTGGTATGTCCTTCATTGAAAACATGAATAGCTATATTTATCAAGCCTCTACTTAACAGAGTGATATAAGGCGTGTGAAAATATATGTGTTACTATTATGTGTCTAATTTCAAACAAAATTTGTTTGAAAGAGAAACTTCATAATGGTAGAGAGAAAAGACAGTTTTACTAGATAGTGTTCATCTTGGAATTCTGCATTATGATTTATTTTGTGACGTGAATGTTACTTATTTTTTTCTCTAAAGGAAAGTATTATTTGGGATTCAAACTATGATGTTATGATTTGGTTTTTAGTCTAGTTTTCAATACAAAAGATTTCAAGAATAAATTCTGAGGATTGAGAGAAATAATTTTTTTATTCACTAAATGGTATGATTTAGGGATGTAATTGAGTACTATTTTATTTTATTTTTTAGTTTATTTCAATACTAAAAAATATTCGAAGATTAACTCTTTATGAGTTGAGATATATCATATTTTTATCATGGGATGCTCAAGTTCTATTCTGCAGTAAATTAAAAAGATGTGGCATGTTAAGATACATATTTGGATTCTTAATTATGAAGACTTTTTTTTTAGGGTTCATTTAAAAAGGTTTTATAGTATGCTATGAGTATGACTTATTATAATAAAACTTCAGAGAGAAGTAATACAGAGTTGACAAAATATGACACTCTATGTGAATAGTATTCGATTTGGGAATAACAGAAATTTCGAAGAAACACAATACCTATAAAAACATCTTGGTTTCTTCGAAATGAAGGGATATAGAGAGAGACTTGGTGGTAGCATAGCAACGCTAATGATCAGTGGGAGAATCGAAATTATGATATTTGAAATAATGGGATGAAGAATATATTTTCTTCACGGTGTAAGACAAGAGATTCCAAGTGTCGAGGGGATGGATACTTCGTGACATGTAAAACCAATGACCAATATATTATCCATCAGTTGCGTGCACTTCCAAGATCACAAAAGCTTGTCAAACAAGTAAAACGACGAATAAAGAAAGCCCAGGTACCACACTACATGGTTTTGAGGTATGAAATATATCTCATGTTATATGGAAAGGTCATATAGGAAAAGAGGATTCAATAACTTTGTTTAATGTGCTTTAATTATATTTTCGCTAATTGTTTTATGAATATGTATGGAGTGTATGAACATTAAGTGATAAGTGCTAACAAATTTGAAAGTGTCGGTTTTGAATACCTTGTGTTTTTTTGCTTCCTTGTGCTTGAGTATAAACTACTTAAGTTAGTAATACATATGGAGATGTGATTTGATCAAGGGTTTTGAGCCCTGAGGATGAAACACGAGAGATGGGTGTGGCTCATTCAAATATGTAAGCACAGAAGGCGTGTTCTGATGGAACTTGGTCTTAATGACCATCCTCTCAATAATATCTATAATATGATGTGTTGCATGTGATGATGATCTCTTGATAAATTCTTCATAATTGCCAAAAATGAAATATTTTGTCAAGACTTTAATAAACATTATTTAGTCGTGCTTTATTTTGGATAAAATTATAAGATGATATATATGATTTGTTTTTGTAGCCATGAACTTGACTTGATAGAAAATTAAAGGTGAATGCGATAAAATGATTTATGAAGGCTAAGCATGTATTTTATAATTAAATTGAATGATTCGAAAAAAACCTAAATGTATGTATATGGTTTTGAGAAAACCACATAGTTGTCGGAGCACCCACCACCATGCTATTACTCAATTCTGTCCCGATTTGACCTATAATAATCCTTCCACTCATTTGATTGTTTTGCCTCGAGATCTTGATATAGGGTCCAGATCCACCCAATTAGCCAAAAATTTCGTATGAAATTTTTTGTCCTCTCTCTCTCTTTAGCTCTTATCGCTCTTCTCCATCTTTCTCTCTCATGAACCTTATTTTCTCTTGCTCCATCTTTCTTCTTGATTTTCAGTATTTTCGTATGATTCGTTGGCTGGGTTTGCAGTGGATAGCTTATCAAATTACTGAAATATCCTTGCTAATTCAATACTCCCAAGCTGAACAATAACAATTTGAGAATTTTTAAAAATATGTATTAATAATGAGTAAAAGAAAATTTTAAAAGTGAACTCTGATATTAATTGCGATGTGTTTACACATTTAATGGTTTTGCATGGATTTTAACCCCCTTATGTAATATTTTCATAAAAATTAATAAGAGGCTTCATGATTATCCTTCATCTAACGCATACTCATGCATCATGCCTGAGTTACACACCCGCAGGATCGTTATATGAAACATTGCGTTATTGCGGGCGTTACAAAAAAAGATTACACTGAATATTCCTTAACAAGTTTGGTTGGGGCTAACGGCACGGTTTCTATGCGGCCAGCCGGCATATTATAAAGATACGGGCTTGGAGAATAATATAATTTAACAATAATTTTTGGAGAATATATAATGGGGATTATGAAAGTGAAAAAAAATATTAAAAATTAAAAATAATAATTATATTAAAAAAACATTTGAACCGACTTGTTTTATAGGTGAATCACACCGTAGATAGTAGCAATGTGCAGTCCAGGCCGCGTGAAACAATTTACCTTTTTGTTAAACCATCAATCAATCTTCACAATACTTATAATGGGTTCAAGCTGTACAAAGTGGCACGAGTTTTGACCGAAAACTGGCGCGTGGAGTTCCGTATCGACAACTACTTAGTGTCACGAGTAAAATTAAGTTCCGACTTTCACCCTTTTCACTGTTAGTGAATACTAGAATATTTTTGTTTCTAAAAAGCATTTTATCACGAGAGAGAGAGAGAGAGAGAGAAAGCACTTTCATGCCTAAATAGGTATAGACAAGCATTAAGGAAAGGGTAAGATTCAACTGCTACAGGCCTACCACTTCCTCGTAGAATTCCTTTCCCCAAAACAAACATACGCCATAAATCTCCTCAGCAAACCAAGCAGCCTTTCGGCACACTTAGGGGGTCGACCCGGTCCTAAAAAACTAAGAACAAGAACAGGCCCAGCCAACGCCGGGCCTCAAAGGTTGAGGGTCCAGCTAGGCACACTCCTCAATGTCTTCCCAACACTACTATAAACATTAATGGTCGGACACCCACACCAATTATCCAAATCTGGTGATTGAAATCCCCACCTAAATCTTATTGCATACATGAATTTTCAACGTACATTTAACATATCGACTAAGACCAATACTACATACACATTAAACCCTATTACTTACTATGATACCTTTTGCCAAAATTTTGCCCCTCTTCCCCTCTCTCTCTCCCACTAATAATGGATGAGTGCCTCTTCAGTAGCAGTGGTGGAACAGGGCAAGGAAAAACGTTACAAGAAACGCGCTCCTTGAAACCCTAATTCTGGGAGGAGACCCGTTGCTCAGCCCGCCCGGGCTAGTGGTAGGCCCCAAAACGCCACCCCCGCTGCTTCCGCCTCCGCCACTCGATTTTGAACTGCAAAACCCAACCCCACCTCTTTAGACCCAAAGTAAATAAATTATTTTTCTGCGTGGTAATGTAAATTGGATGGTTGTGAGGGTGTGCCATTAACTAGACTAAAAGTTCATGAAGAAAAAAAAAACATTCCAACTTTGAATCAAAGTAGCAAGAAAAAGGACTCACCTTCCGGTAAAAACACACGTTCCATAACCTACAATAACATTAACCAGAAGAAATTCCATCAAGAATCAGCGAAGAAATTCCAATAACATATACAGAGAGAAAGAAAAAAGCATCGAGCAAGCATAAATGGATGAATCCTTACTGGGATCAATGGAGGTGGTGGTGGCAGTGCCATTAAAGTTGCAGGTCCCCCCTGAGCTGGACGACCTCTGGTAATAATCGTTGTAGGCATAAGAAGCATGGTTCTCCAAGGTGTTCGGATTGTAGCAGGGCTGTCCTTCCTGTAAGGCAGTGCAGTTTGCCAGCCCCGGCCCACACGCCCAATCTAGTCCGGTCTTCAGCGCCAGGGCATCCGCCCCCGGCGTCGCTACACAATAAAGGCCGCTCACCCCCAAAGCAGAGGAGGGATTCGCTGCCAATGCCCCTCCACTGCCCAATTGCAAAGGGTAAATTGCTGTCAAATTCGGGTAAATCACACCCAAGCTCTTCTCGGACATAGGCCCTGGCCTCAGGTCCTCATCGAACATTTCGTATACAAAAACACTCACTTCAGATTCTGGACGTCCAGGTGTGCCCCCGCCCCCACGCACATGGTTGATCAAGTTGGTATTGTAGATAATGGCATTGCCCGGTGTGGCATCGAGCTCACTGGAGTCCCCGCCGTGAGGCCAGCCCGACTCTGTTAAGATAATGGGAGTGTGGGTGTGATTGAGAGCCTCCATGGAGTGGTAGACGGCATCGATCATCGCGTCGAGCAGGTTGTCATATGGGAGGTCGGAGTTGGGGTCAACAATCCGCTGGGCTGGAGGAAGGTCCCGAAAGAGGGCGAATTCAAGCGGGTAGATGCCCTTGGCGTCGGAATATGCATAGTAAGGGTACGCATTGAGCATGAATGGGGCTTCTGTCTTCTCCAAGAAGTTCAAGAGCAGGGACAGCACGGGAAGGATTGAGCGGTTGAAGGAGGCCGTGGAAGGGGGGAAGAACTGGACGACGATGTCCATTGCTTGAGGGGACGAGACTTTTATTTGGGAGTCGAGGGCAGAGGCGACCAGGGCGGCATGGATGTTGGTCAGGGCAGGGACGAGGATGAGGGCGGCGTTCGGGAGGGAGGTAAGGACCTCGCTGCCGACTGCAATGGCCGTGATGTTGGTGTCCGGAAGCTGTGCAGCCACGTTGAGGTTCACCCAGGCGGCGGCAGCGGAGGGGGACTGCCCTATGCGGAGGAGTTCAGTATTGGGGATCCCCACAGTGACTTGGATACCAGTGCCAGCAAGGGCGGCGAGGAGCTTGCGATCAGCATCGAACAGGCGAACATGGGTCACTCCCTCCGACCGGAGAAGGGCGGCGATGTCCTCCGCCGATGGAGAGGAAGAGAGGTCCATTCCTATGTTTACACCCACAAATCCACCTGAACAAGAAGGATAAGAAACTCATGGCAAAATCGACCTGTTAAAAGTCCCGCAAAAAGAATAGAATCCCTAAAACCAAAAGGTGAAAACCCCAAAAAAAAAAATGGCATAAACAATTTCAGGCAGGGTAAGTAGGGGATTATTTTTCTATTTTCTTTACCTGAAACGCCGGAAAATGAAATGATGAGCAGTAGGAGGAGGGTTCCTGCCCATTTTTCCGGCGACATGAATGCCGGAAAACCTTTCACTGTTGCTTCCTCTCCCCCTTCTTCCTCTCTCTCTCTCTCTCTCTCTCACACAAAACCCTATGTAACTTTTTCCCTCTTTTATTTCTAAAAATCCCTTTTCTCTAAAGTCTTAAAGTACTCCTTTGAACTGAAATTCCGCTCCTGTACCCCTCTCTCTCTAAAAACCCCTTTTGAGCTCTGAAGAATTTCAACCTCTTTCTCTCTCTAGATTCTCCGTTATTCTCTTCACGCCCTTCCCTGGTTTCCACTCTCTCACTAGATTCACCTTTTCTCTCTCTTCACCCTTTATCGATTCTGGTTCTTTCGCTCTTTTCGTATTATTGAGGTGTAATGGCCGGACGAGTGGGTCCCGCGGCTTTGTAAGAATGCCACCGCCCCAGCCGGTAAAGCCACTGGTTATAGCCGGTGGCTCTCTGACCTAAAGCTCGCTCTTCTCTACAGGTCTCTCTTGCGAGGCCTAAATCAAAGAGAGCTGGAGCACCCTGTGAAGCTCTAAAGCTCGATCCTCTCTGCAAATCTCTCTCACTCTGCGAGTCGGTGGAGAAACCAACATCTCGGTATCGATTGCTGTGAACTTGAAGCGAGAATCTGGTTTTTCCTAAGATTCAATGAGTTGTTGCTTTTCCATTTCTGGGTTGGGTTTTTTAGATGGGTTGGTGTTGCTTTTCCATTTCTGGGTTGGGTTTTTTAGATGGGTTGGTGGAGATATGGGCAGGATTGAAAAGGCAGGATTTTTTACTGTTTTTGTTTCGTTGATGGACTTGCAGAGGTTTTGTGAACCTGGTTTGGTCTTGGATTGCTTATTGCCTCTTTATTGCGGTCCATCTGAAAGGAAATGTCAGGTTTTTATGGGATCCCTTGTGATTTCTTTCTATTTATGAATGAGAAATAGAAGATTTGGTGAATTCACGTCGGCTTATAATGTTTTTTTTTTTTTTAAGAAAATTGTTTCATGCCGGCTGGACCGTATTTTTACATATCTTTACTAAAAAGTATAAAGTATCTATCTTATGGATGCAAATAGGTGTTCTATCTAAAAAATAATAAAAATTAACAGTTCAAATGTTTTTTTATTAAAATTGTTATTTTTAATTTTAAAATTAATTTATTTTTTATATTCATGATCTTCATGCTAGAGATTATGTGTCTTTAAAAATTAAAGTCCTAAAATCCATCTTAAAAATAGATTTATTAAGAGGCCAGCATTTCTACATATGCAAGATCCTTTTTTCGGACAATCTGCTCATGAGTTAGTACTTTGAGGAATTTTCTAATAGAAGAGATTGATTTGCTATGTAATTCTGTTTATTTTGTTTTATTTTTGGAGTTACCAGCGTTATTCGATTAAAATAAATGATGGTTTTGGTTATTGAAAACCAAGGATAGGCAATGGGTTTTTCTCCTTTAATCTATAGCCTACGAAAGATAATATATTTAAGGAAATTATCGTTAATGTACCTTAAGCTCAAGAAAGTTGTAAAAAAAAAAACCCAACTTTCCAAAACCTCGTACACACCTTTTTTCTCAATTTTCAATAATTTTTGGACAAAAATACATTTTACGGTAGTCTTTCTGTAGCAATGCATTGCAACCATTACGGTAATTAAAATACCAACATAAACATCTATTATGGTACTAATTAGTAATAACATAGAGTATTACGGTAATTAAAATACCGTAATAGTTTAAAGTAATATTACGGTAATTTAAGTACAATAATATTACCCAACTCAACACGAAAGATTTTTTACTCTCTCGAGCCTACTATTTATTTACTCCCTCGATAAAATCCACGCTAGCTGTAATTTTTCAAATTTCAAATTTTCAAGATATAATATCTACTTAATTTTTATATGTTTCTCAAAATTTTAGAACTAAAACACACTTAAATAGGTGCTTTTGAGCGATGGAGTAGATCCACATCGTGCTCCCATGGGAACATAGATTTTTTTAAAATAGTAGCATATTAGTTTTGGTTTGAAGCTTTTAAAGTATTATAATACTTCAAAAGCTTCTATAATACTTTAAAAGCTTACAAACCAAGACTAATAGTCGTGGAGG